ACACACACACACACACACACACACACACACACACACACACACACACACACACACACACACACACACACACACACACACACACACACATACACACACATACACACACATACACACACACACAAATTAAGTAAGATTAAAATTAGGTTAGAACGAGAAAAATGATTAACTTATTAATTATTATATTATTAATGAAGTAATTATTAATCATATAATATACGTATAATCTCTAATTGATATAGCGTCCCATAACTCTTTTATTTGGGATATGTCACATCGAGACACAATAGTGTAATTAGTGTATAAAATGTCTATGGACGTAAAACGTTAATCACTGAAAAGCCGAGCTCCGTCCGTCACAGAATGACAGTCTTTGATGTCTGACTGTCCTCGCGCTCGTTTATTTATTTCCATAGCATTTCGGCGTGTGTCACGTAAGCCCGATTACAAATTAACACCTAGCCGGATAACGAGCCGTCATCAACCGACGAATCACTTTGTCTCCACGCGAGGATTCGGCCTTTGTGCCTCTCTCTCTCTTCTCATGCATAATTTACAATAAAAAATATGGGGAGAACAATGATGAGCGATCGGATGAGGTCGCGATCCGCTTACGAAGAAGTCCGGCGGCACGGGGCAATTGTTTCAATCTGCGTTTAATACACCGCCGCGGCGGCTGCTGCCGCCGGCTCGTCTCGTCTCGCTTTTAGCGGCGTCAAGGTGAAACGCGGCGATTACGATGCGGCCCCGTGATCTGGAAATGTGCACGACAAAGGGACACAACGTCGCGTGCTTAATTGCGCGCAATTAACGCTGCTATTAGACTCTACACGTGCTTCGACGTCGATTTATGTTTCGCTCGCTCGCTCGCTCGCGACCGAAAGTCGAGTTTTCCTCCTCCGCAAGGTAATTCGTATCGGACGAAAAGCACACAGATTCGATCCCGCGGACTTCGAAATGTTTAGTGGAATGTGAACACGGTGTCTGCTCAAAGCCGGAAAAAAAATTCTCTCACAATTCTTCTCCCTGATTTTCCAGACAATTTGTTAAAACTTCCACATAAAATGAAAGTATTTTTAAATGTATCTTGCAAATGAATATGTATTTATTGTGCAAAGCCCCTTAATATTTTCCATTCATAAAAGTTTATAAATCGTGAAATAAAATTAAGAATCAGTCGAGTTTCAATGATTAAATTCGAAAAATTTTGAAAGAAATTGTAGAGACTCTAAAAAATAAATATTTTATATTGCATATTGTATAAAATTTGTTAACTTTAATAGCACTAAGACAACCTAGCTCTTTACGGTTCTATATTGATTCTAAATTTTATTTTCAAAAGTTACTAAAATAAAAATTATGTAACGCATAACCGGTTAAAATACAATTTTAATAAATCTATTAAAATAAATATCTGTCTTAATTAAACTAAATTGCGCCTAACACGAAATCGTTATACGTAGATATTTAAAAAAAATCGATTATTTTTTTAAAAGAAGTGTTAATATTTACATATTAAATAAAACTTTAAAAACAAATTTAAATATGTATATACGCAGAATGTTAATGAGTTTACACCTACACCTACTTATATAACGCTATTCCTTATTAATTAAAATTACAATTAAGTCCAAATAAAAATCAAGTCCAAAAATCTGGAATTATTTCTCCTGTGATTCTTAATAAAGAAAAGATTATTAAACAAAATTCAGCAAAAACCATACAATATTTGTCTATGAACGCGATGATACGACTTGCAGACAAATGTCTATTTAAAATTCCCTAAGAATTCTTGGATTTTCCCAGTCCTAAGCAACAGACATCCTGGTGAATTTTCGGACGAGGAAACGTCGATTATCTGTCAAATTCTCGGATCCTTCGTTGTCACTCGCGAAA